GGTACTACCTAATTGTGAGGGTAAAAGTGTTTTGAACTTTTTGAAGAAATATACTTTTAGTCAATTTAGAACACATAGGGTGATCATTAGTGATGAAGGCAATCATTTTTGTAACAAAAAGGAGACAATAGTGGCAAAATTTGGAATTACGCATAAGGTTGTTATTGCATACCATCCACGGACAAGTAGATTAGTTAAAGTTTCTAATAGAGAGATCAAGAGGAAACTGGAAAAAAACGATCAAGCTCATTAGGAAATATTAGTCCCTTAAGCTAGATGAAGTGTTGTGGGCTTATAGAACTTCTTTGTTACCTTATAGAATGATTTTTGAAAAAGCCTGTGATCTACTAATAAAATTCGAACGTAAGACTTACTGAGAAATTAAGAAATTCAATTATAACATGAAGTATGTGGCAGAGAAAAGATTACTACAGTGGAATGAGTTAAAGGAATCTAGACATGAGGCCTATAAGAATGCCAAGATCTATAAAGAGAAGATGAAAAAATGTCATGATCAAAAGCTGATTAGGAATTAACCTAGATAAGAGATTTTGTTGTATAATTTGTGATTAAAATTATTTCCCGAAAAATTGAAGTCTAGAAAGTCAGGACCATTCACTATAGTAAAATTTTATTCATTCGAAATCGTAGACATTCAGGATATAAAAACCAATTATTTTTTCAAGGTTAATGAAAAGAGGTTGAAGTTGTACTTATGACGTGATAGAAAAAGTCTTAAGAAAATACTAATGTTGGAATAATCTTGATAGAAGATATGGCATCATCTGGCTGAAGATGTTAAACCAGGTGAGACAACCGATGTATTATCTTTGGATTTGAGTTGTTTTGCTTGTTGATTTGATGTGTCATTGTTGTTTGTTTAAGTCTCGTTTTTTGTAGTTCATATTATTTTCTATTGGGTTTGGATCTCCCCGAAGTAGGAAATCGCTACCAGTAGAGTGGGAAGGACAAAAAACATTTTAAAGCATGATTGAGGCCCGTTGCACCCATGTCAAGCTGCCTTGGAGTAACACCCTATCACTAAAACTTGGGCGTCCCGCTTGAATGAAACACACCTGTGTTGTGTACACATCACGCCCATGCCTAACCTGTTGTGTCGCAAGTGTCCATAGGACCCAAAGATGGTTGAAAAGGTGCACCAACTCACACACTAACATCGGTTTAGGTGCACCTGCAACTAATCCCCAACACACTTGTTACCTTGCAGCTCACCCGCATGCTCTAGAGATGGAAGGGTACTTGTTCCCGGATCATAGTGCACCCTTGCACAATCCCAGTGCATGAGCACATCTGCGCCAACATCGTGACACACCTGCACCCAATGTTCTCAAGCCACGGGTAAAGGGGAACTATTCATCTTTTTCCTTAGTTCCTCCCTCACCAAATTTTGCTTGCCCTCGCTCGCTCCACCTCTACGAAGCTTCCGACCACCATGAAATGCTGCTAAAGGCTTGGATCTATGGTGCTCAGCTTCTATGAGGTAAGATTTGTGTGTTTTGGTGGTTCTTTGCCCTGCATTTGAGTTATGTTCTTCTTGATTTGCTTCCTACGCTAATGGCTCCCAAAATGAAAGGTCAGAAGGATGCATCCTTTGATGCTAGGAAATTTGTCAACTTGGATGCTTCTAATCGATATAACGATCTCTTAGCATTAAGGAATCACATTCTTAAATGAGTATTTTTTCAACCTAAGTCCCACTCATTTGCGAGTTCTTCGCTAATGTGAAAGAACCAGTTAACGACGACGTCTTCATTCGAGGGAAATCGGTGGACTATGACGTGACCACCATCAACTCGTTGTTAAACTTTTTTGATATTCTGCAATGCGAGTTTGTAAATTTCTCACCAACGGTCGAGCTCGGTGGTGTAGGCACGAGGGAAAAATTATTAATTTCCCTAGCTCTCTCATGTCTAAGGAGTCCAAGGCCTGTCACTATTTCATTTGTGCTTGGATCATACACATCACCAATCTTACTGAAGTCACTAAAGACTGAGCTACTCTGAATTTCTGTATTCAGAGGAGAATAATGATTGATAGCAGCTCGGTTATGGTTCTCTCTAAGCCACGTCATAAATTGTGGCACTACTGTGGGGTTGGGTCTCCTACACTTGCTCACCAATTTGTGCACCTTTGCTACTATGCCTAGAGATTAAGGAGAGGAGCAATTGAATCCCCCGAAGCCATTTGAACTACAAGAAGACGTTGGCACAAGAGAGGGGTGAGAGTTTGGGGGGAGATAGTTCTTTGCGACATGAGGAGGCCAAGTCGAGGCCTACTAGGGCAGTTATCGAGTTACCGAAGCAGGTGGATGAGTTGGCTTCTGACTACACAATGATGAGCTAAGAGGTGCATGATTTATATGACCAGTCACACCATTATGTCAAGCAAAGCCAGAGGCAGTATCAGTACCAGCATCATTTCAATGCTACTCAGGAGGAGATGTGTCATAGGCAAGGGTGGCTTTTTGGACAGAAACCAATGGTATACCCTACACCATTATCATTTCAGATTTTTTATTATAGCATGATGCTGATGGAGGAGGATGATGATGGTCAGGAGGCATGAGAGAGCTGAGCGAGGATTAGTGATTAATTGTTTAATTTGTGAGCTTTGATGATTGTTATGGTTATACATGGCTAATCTAATGTTAATGTTCTTGACGTGCTTCCTTTAATTCATGTGCTTATTTTTTATTCATGATTCATGTTGATGAGAGTGTTTTTACTATAGTTGCTTATTTCTGCCACATGCATATGATGTTCACTCCCTCTTTTTATTACATCCAATTGTTATGATGTAAAATATTATGTGACAAAGTAGGATAGAAATAAGTTTGGGGGAGGGAATTTCACACTTGCGGCAACCTAAAAATAATTATATTACTATGCTCATTTCTGATTTTGACATTATGGGGATCTTTGCCAGTTGAAAATGGAAGGCAAAATTTGTCAACTCAATGTGAAATCTATCTAATGTTGGACTTGAAATGTTCGATAACAGGCTAATACTAGAATTTAATCACCATTTTGCCTAGCATAAACTTTTCAAACCATTTAAAAAAGTGTCTATAAAATTAACTAATTAATCCAAATAGTTTTGATTCTTAATTTTTGATTCAAACAATAGAACTAACCGTAATTTAATTTGATTTATAAGATCACCAGGATTCACATTCAAGGGGCATTTAAAACTTTTAATTTAAGGGGCATTAGAAAAGTAGAATTCTTAAAAACTGTGTTTAACCAGATATAGTAATTCTCCCTGCAACATAAGAAGAAAAGAAAAGGCAAAAGAAAAGAAAAAAGAAAGCAAAAATTTTATTCCAAATTAATAGTTAAAGGGAAGGAGAGAAAATAAATTAAAATGAAAAATCCATGGGAGAAGAAGCTTGAAGTTAAGCATAGGAGTAATTCAGTTTTTGTTATCTAGCTATCTACCTAAATTAAATGGCTTAATTATATCCTTAATGAGATTCTGGAATCCTATAAATCTTGGAAAAAAGAGGTGATAGTCTATTGCTTGAACAAGAATTAAGTGCTTAGAGCACCTGGAGTGATGGAAGGGATTGTAGTCATACTTGATTAAGTGATTTGAGAAGACTTATGTTAATAAAGAGATGATTAAAGAAAGGTAAAAAGATTATCTATACACAATGATTCCCACCAATGATGGAAATCACAAAACGTTAACAGATTATTACCCCACATTTTTAAAAAATAAGGTCACCTGTAGGATAAGGTCAACTAAGGTTCTCCAAAAATCTGAGCTAAGTGATAGGATTTCTTGAGGGCAAATAATAAGTTTGTTTCGGAGATTTGATGTGAATGAAAAATATGATGAATTCCTGACCCGTTTATCATTGTTGTTTAGGGTTTTACGATAACATTATGCGTGACAAAAGTATTTCTTTCTATTTTGTGCAGGTACAATTTTAATGCTGTCTGGAAATGAAAAGGGGTCAAACCGGAGCTAAAAAGGTGATTAAGCGATCCAACTCATTCGTGCCGCATACACAATGTTCGCCAACTTTACAGCGCACACACTTTATAGTAGCCACACAACAACATCAATAAAAGAAGAGGTGAAAAGTAAGGTTCAAAGAAAGTGGAATAAGAGTGAAGTTTGGCAAGTTCTTGTCCTTTTATTTTTTTAATATGTATTAAAAATTGAAGTTTTTTGGTAAGTTGTTGTAGTTTTATAACATATTGTTTAAATTTGTAATTCTATTTTTTGCTCTATAGCACAACTTTGCCAGCACCATGGCGCCTCTGTGAAAATGTTTTATAATGTATTTCATAAGCAAGCTATAATGTGTTTTAGCGCCTAGGCAAGCATATAGTGAAAAAAAACTTTAAATATTTGATTAGCATTATCTTAAAACTAAAAATACTTAAATAATATTTAATAATTTAAAATAATACTCATATAAATTATTAACTAACCAATAAAATATAAAAACTATTTTTTTTTATGTGAACTAATAAATCTAAAGAATAGTATTATTCAATAAACAATAAACGTAAATGACTGAAATAAATCTAATTAGTGGATATGTTTTAAAATTGAAACACGTCAGTTTATATAAAAACCAATGATGCCACAGCAGCACTGCCAGTGGCGATACAACGAAGACCAAAACCATTGCCATAAACCAATCGCTAACAAATCATAAATCAAAGGGAGTCAAAAAGGTCATTTCATGGTTTATGCAAACTTTACTAAAAAAAAAGGCTTCCACCGAGCCCGCTTATCGAAAATTGGGCTCTTTTCCGAGAAAAGAATGCTGCCATTGTTGATGGAAATAAACATCACTGCATGGGAAATTCAAAGCAACCTATTCCATACAACTGAATGGATGCATTGCAACTCTGAATAGCCCCAAATAGAAAAATGCAAAGTGAAAACCAGAACAAATCACTGACAGAGCCAAATGAATAGTTTGGACATCAACTTCCAAACAAAAACTAAACTAACACCAATTTCTCAAGCAAATTGAACTCATAACGTCAGCTTTCAAATAATAACTGCATGTCTTACAAAATTCCTACAGCTCAAAGGAAGGGGGAGCACAAATTTAAAAAACTGAACAAACCGCTAAAACCAGATTACCTGTTTTTATTCTTTTGCGTGAAATATATTTGGTTCTGAAAAAGATATGGCGTGACAATCTTGATAGGAAACACATATAATGAGTGCTTGGTAAATACCTTCATTTACCGCAACTGCGTCGAAGAGCAGAGAAGCCCTGATGCATCTGCACCCACCACTGCAATCTCGCAAACAGTGCAAAGTTTACCTTGAATGGTTGGGATAAACCTAGCTCCACAATAAGGACAAGAGACATCCTTCTGTCCGCGGTAGATTGGAACAAAGGTAGCTCCACAGACCATAAAAGGATTCCTGTAATCATAATTCAGCTGGTGCGCATCTTTTCGGTCACCACAAGCCTGTAGAACCTGCCTTGCCTTCTTTGCTTGTGCATCAGTTGGGCTACTCTCCAAAAGCATCCTAGCAAAATGGGTTGCCGTAGCATAGTTTCCTCCCTTGAAACAAATAGTCATGGCACTAGTAAGCACCAATCTGGTGTGAACCTTTTGGAGCTTGCAGTTTGTGAAGTAAGCAGCAAGCTCCTGTTGTCGAATCACATCATCCTTAATTTCCTTCCTCTTGACTTCAATCTTCAGGCCCAAAACATATTCTTTAGCAATCTCAATCAACTCCTTGACTTCATCAACCTCCCTCCTAGAATCGACAACAATAATAGGAATAATGTGTAATATATTGAGAAATAGCCTCAAGGCCTCAGGGAACTTCCCCTCTGTTGTTGCACGGTATGCAGCCTTGAGTTTTTCATCCAGTTGTGAAAACTTGAATACTAGAGATGGTGGGCTTCTAACATTAGGACTGGTGGACTCGGTCCACCCCTTCTCAACAGCAACTGAAATTACTGGAGCCGCAGTAAAAGCAGGAAGATATGTATGACTGCCTGTGTATAATTCCAAAAATATTGGCTTCAATGGAGTAAAATTATTTATTCCTAACTGCCGATTAAGAAGGCGCAGAGCTGTGTCAAAGTTTCCAGCTGCAGCATGCTCCCCAGCAAGAGATGACTTCTGTGTCCAGATTTGGCTCACAGACATACCTTGCGTAGGGGCAACAAACACCGATGCACGGCTGTTACTTGTAGCCACCGGACTTACAACTTCTGCAGGCAACTCCAGATCTTCAAGATCCCAGCCTCCATTTTCTTCAGTTGCTTCAACATCATCAACTTCTGCATCCGCATCCCCATTCTGGATCACTCGCTCAACATCAACAATGTCCAAGTCTTCATCACCCCAGTCAGCACCAGAAACTTCTTCTTCGACATCATCATATCCTGACTTGTTAGCAATATCCAATCCACCCTCAAAAATACCTCTCATAACCCTCAACAATGGCCAGTCACCACCATTCAAAAGAGGAACAGGTGGCAAAAGAAGAGAACGGGTTTTCTCTTTGGGGATAGCAGGAATATCATCCCCCAATTCAGCCGCAAGCCTTTCAGCAGTTTCAATGAGGCCATGAGTTGAAGCTGTGATAAATGCAAGATGCAAGTGACCAGTCTTCTCCAAGATCTTCACACGCTCCTGGATATCACCAAGATACATAGCATTATGGAACTGACCCATCACATCGTTCTTCATCTCAGCTATTCTCAGCATTTTTGACAGCTTCTCCTTATTTCCTGTGACAAGATACAGAAATGACAGCCTTTCGAAGTTCTTTGTCCTCTGATAAGCATATTCTACAATACCGGTGTTCCCCTGTCGTAGGGCCTCAATGCCCAACCTATACCAATGGTCTTTCTCATCTATCTCTTTTGCAGACGCAACAGCAATTTGGATGTTACCACTCTCAAGAGCCAAGTTGAATCTGGTTCTCTCATCTTTAACAAAGTGAAGAGCTACTTCAGGAAAACCTTTTTGCTGTAAGTATGCAATCACAGCCTGCCCGCACAACTGAGAATTCTTGATCATACTCATAACATGGTCAAAGTTTTTCCTCAGAAGAGCAAGCTTGAAGATATACTCTGTAGCATCAATTGTTATGATCCGGTTCTTCCCATCACGATCCAAACAAAAAACACTGTTGCCAGAAACCTTGGTCAGGTATATAGGAACATCAAGAGTCCTTATAATACCATTATCCCCATTAGGAAGGCAATACTTAATGTGGTTCAGGGTTGTGTAAATGAAGACACCATTCTCATCCCACGCACCACTTTTCACACGAATTGTCTCATGCAATGTACAGCGGTGAACAAGTTTCTTGCTGGCAATAACTATAACATGCTTGCTGAGTAATGCAATAGTTTCCATGTCACTTGACCAAACAATATACTTGACAGCAGGGACCTGAAGTTCTCCCAGAATAAGACGCTGTTGAAGGTCAAATATAACGACTTTATCTTCAGCCCTACACAACAGATTTCCTGTTCCAGCATAAAAGATTGCATCTGTAACAATAGGAAGAGGACTCTTTTTTACAATTTCATTATTGAGATTCTTGACTACTGCTAGATTAGTGCTCTTGTCTAGCACTGCAAACCTATTGCGGGCCACAAAAACAGCTGACCCTCCTCCCCCTTTCTTTGCATCCTGAACAACATCTGTCCTTCCAGAATTGTCTTTGGGAACAATATAGAGTTCATAAGTGCCCCCATCTGCATCTGAACAGATTATGACAGCATTCTCGGTGGGACTGAAAGAGAGTGTTCTTGGTCCCTGGTTCAAACTCACCGATCCAGGTCTCCTTATTGGAACCACCTGATTATCTTTCTGATTTGAAAATTCATAAAACCTCAGAAAACGGTCTTTCACATAATATAAGCAATCCCCAACTACAGAGAAAGCAGGGCGCTCTCTCTCTAGTTTGAATACGATCATTCCACTGTCATGGCCAGCTGCAAGTAGATTCATTTCTGAATGCGCAGACAAAATCCAAAAACGATCATGCTCGCGGCGAAATGTCTGAATGGCAGTGCGCTTGGTAGCATCCCAGATGCGAATACTCTTGTCCTCAGAGTTGGACACAATGATATCTTGCTTAGCATGAAACATCACACAAGAAACATTATTCATATGCCCTCTCAATGTGTCGACTTCCCATGCCTTTGAATCTACAAAATGAAAATACAAATGTGAGCATATTTCTGTGATGTAGCAACTATTGAATCAGTTGGTGAGTATCAAGTAATGTTGCCTGCAAGAAAAGTAGTGAATTGCTACTTTTCAAGACATGCCATTTAGAACAAAACTTCAAAAAGATCTTTATTCTGGGAGAAACATATATTGACTGATTCTTGATAACAATGTATGCTTTTCAATCCCAATAATTAGTATCAATATATTACGTGGATTCGCCGGGTCTTGTCAAACATTTGAACTTTATTAATCTATACTACTATTGAAAAAGAACATGCTATCCCACTAACAAAGTTCTCAGCCCTTCATTTTAAAAGCCAATATAGATATATATATATATATATATATATATATATA